AATGAATTTCAATGGCTTTTCCACCTTTAGCACTTAAAAATTGAATTACAGCACGCACCTCACAGTTGGCGGCAGTCTCAATTGGCGGCACCATTTTGAATGCTCCAAACCGGATGTAAACACGGCCGATTGTTGCCAAATTTCTGGTGCAGGCTTGCCAATAGATGCGCAAATGTCCAAAATGCCAAAGGCAGCGCTGGAACGGAGAAATTTAAAAACGGTACTTATAAAACATGCCTCGTATTTTGCTCTTATGGCTGTGCTAAATTTTGTGTAGATCACTTCAGCCGTTCAGGAGGAGTATTTGTAAAACAAAAGCAGGAGTGTTGTATTTTAAGAGCTTCGCTCCGCTCAACAATCAAAAGTAAACACAATGAGCCTTATCTTTGTTATATTGCTGATGCTTGTGCAACTCGTAAATTTTCTATTTTTATTTTCACATGATCCAAATCAATGTCGGCAGGGGGGGGGGGCGCAACTACCTCTGTGGTCCCATGGCACATACTAACTGGGGGCCTGGCTATGTCGTCATCAGTCCCCAGTCCGAAATATTTTGTTGTGTGACAGTGCATGAGAGTAGACAGGGTCAGTGCCAGTATTGATGTCATCACGGAGCTATTGTTCAAAATTGATTTTTTTCTTCTTAAACTATATTTTCTACAATTAAAATTTTATGTCTCAAAAACATTAAATTGGGAGCCTTTTTTTGTCCTAGGACGCTAGGCACGAGCCTGGAATTGTTTTTCACATTACTTCAGGCTAGACCTAGGGGTTACGGCATTATCACTTAGATAAAATCCATTGGTGATTTGGAGGGATTTGAACCCGGGACCCCAGGAACCAGAGTCCCGCGCTCTAACGACTAGACCAGCTCGCTCCCCAAATTGGGAGCCTACTGCATATCTGTATGGGCCGGAATAGTTGAATATGCTATGCTTATTTTTTATTTTACTACACTAGGATTTTGAATATAGGATTTATAATTAGAAAAAAAATTGAGTTAGTGTGATTTTGTAACAATTATATAAGGTAATCAATATATTTTTATTTTGACAACTTATTCCTTGGGTTGGGCTAAATTCCTGAGATTAATTTTTGGTACCAAAGATAAAAAATAATAAAATATTTTTAAGATTATACAAAGGATAAGTTTTAAATAAAATTTCTGCCCGAATCTTCTTTCTAATGCAACAACAAAATTTATGATGTACAGCATCATATTTTTGTGCCGGCACGACCAAAATCAGTATGATAATATCCTATTGTAAGACAACGCAGTCTTAATAGTCTTAATATTGCATCCACATACCAAAAAGACCATAAAATTCGTTAAAACTATTAATTCTATTATTTCCAAAATGGCGGCCATTTTCCAAAATGGCGGCAAACTTGAAAAGTGGAAAAATGTGTATTTTATGGTCTTTTTGGTATGTGGATGCAATATTAAGACTTCTTTGACTTATTTACACTTCACATTTTCGCTATAAACCTACTTGTTTAGGAGCTACGATGTAAAATGTACACCGGAAGTCATTTTTCCATAGGCTGTAACTCCTAAACGAGTGGGTTTATCGAAAAAATGTCAAGAATAAAAAAGTTTTTAAATTGCCTGTTCTATCCGAAAACATGATAAAATATAGGGTGTTCCATAAGAAATTTCAAAGTTGGCCGCCATTTTGGAAAATGGCGGCTGAATTTAGAAAAAAATAAAATCATATTTTTAACTGCCACAAAAAATAAAGGAATGTCCCCCATTTAAAGTTTTCTCTAATTCTTACCGTTTCCGATATCTCAATGGTGGCCTCCTTGAGTTGATCACCCTGTATATATATGTGTCCGTTAGCACGATAACTCAAGCAAAAATGATCCGATTTTGATGAAATTTGGTATAAACGTGTAAACCTACATTTATTCGAACAAGTTTGCGAACCAGCATGATCGGACCATGGGAACGGGGGTTTACAGGGGGTTTTATGGGGTAAAAATAGGTTTTCCCATTTTTGACCCAAAAAACATAAAATTTAGCAATTTCTTTCCAAACCATTTTGTAGAGCTTAAAAAAACAAATAATTTAGTACAGTCTAACCTTGATATAAGGAACCTCGATACAACAAATTCCTTGATATAACGAATTTTTTTAAATCCCCTAGAACTCTTCATAAGACACAATGTATATTTTACCTCTACATAACGAACAAACCATAACAACGACCTTGATTTAACGAATTTTTTGTGATTTCGGCTAAAATAAGACACCTCAATATAGCGAATTTATCATTGTCATAACCTCTACATTGCGAATTTAACCTCTGCATAACGAATTGTCTACGTCTTTCCCTCGATATAACGAATCCCTCAACCCATTATTGTTTTTGAAAAATCTGTTTCCACACCCCATTATTGTTTTTTAAAAATCTGTTTCTTTATCAAATGAAATGGAAAGGTGACGTCATCGCTTGCGCTAACATTCGTCTGCTCCGTTTTACACATCTCTGTCTGCTGTCGCTGCGCGCGCTATGTTGCAACGGAGAACTGATTTCATTCACTGAGGACTGATGACGACGTAATGTTTAGTAAGCTGTGATTGGGCGATAAGTAACTATGGTGAATTGTACAATTTTTGGATAAAGAGAAACCTAAGAAAGAATATAAAACAAAACCAAAGAGAAAGAATAGCAACATCGTTATTTTAACATTCCTTTTTCGAGTGTTTTTATTATCTTTAAGTTGGCTATGATTATACACTTTTATAATGACTTATCTAATAATTTATTGTTTTCAATACGATTTGTTTCAACTAGCAACACCAATGCTATAGTTAATGATTATTATTGACATTCGTCTGTTGTGATAAATAAAGCCTACCGGCCTATCACGAGGAGTAGCTTACAAAACTTTCTACTACTGTTTTGTTTTGTTCTTTACATGGTTTATGACTACGCAATACAGTGTTTGGCTCGGTTTTAGGAGGGTTAGAACAAGCTGTGATTTTAAACTTACAGTTTTTAACCTGTACCAAGGTCAATGCCATTTTCATGATTGCGCAATATTCAAGATCCCTCCCCTTTTTTATGCCGGATAATTTAGGTTCTACTGTACAATGTAAACACTGTACTGTAAAGTATTGTAGCCTATGCTACTTTAATTGTGTTTTAATGGTGTCTAATCCCGACCTATATTGACCGACGCTGGTTCTGAACCTCGACTAGCGAAATTTCTGCAAACATAACCTCTATATAACGAACCTCGTTTTAACGAAATCCTTGATATAACGAATATTCAGTTCGGTCCCTTCAGATTCGTTATACTGAGGTTGGACTGTATATTGAAGCGTTATTATGCGCCTAATGGTTACGGAGAAAATTCTAAAAAATGTAAACTTATAATTCCCATGTTATTCTTATGGAGAACAAGTAAACTGTTGTAGATTGCTTGTTTATGAACATACTAGCTGTACCCCGTTTAACTTCATGAGTATTCGCATGGCTCAATCACGTCCCGGTTGAAGTTCGTTCGCTACGCTCACTCACCGTTAGGTTGGAGCTCGTTCGCTGCGCTCACTTGTTTTCAGGTTAGCTCGTTCGCTACGCTAACTCGCCTCCAGGTTGATGTTCGTTCGCTACGCTCACTCACCTTTTGGTTGCAAATTAGCTGTTGTCATAAATTTTAAAAAGTCATCCCTTTTATTGTTTATAATCTAAATATATACCAGGACGTGATTGAGCCATTCGAATAGTTATGAAGTTAAACGGGGCAAAGCCCGCGGTTACAGCTAGTACTTTGATAAAGGTTTTTATGTTTTAATATTTAACATTGGAGAATTTAAACGCTGTTAAGTGCACAGGTGTGCTGCGATTGGGGTTTAATACATTTGGACTTATTCAAAAGTAAAATAGTTTTCTGTGCTGCACTCTGTAGACTCTGTTTACATTGTGGCACTATTTCAAATCATGACTAATGCTAATACAGAATGTTGTAATTATTCAAACCTACAAAATAGTTGGTGAAAGTAAACATCTGCTTTTAAATTATATTTATTTGTAAACATTGTAGATCAAAAAGTCTGACATTGGCCCACTTAAAACCCTCTGTGGCAGAGCCCTTTTGACGGATCTGCAACAAACTTCACTCGAACCATCCTTGAAAGATGCTTAATAATGCCTGAAAGTTTCATTACAATCTATCGAGCGGTTTCGGAGTTCATAACGTATATAGATATATATATATATATATACACACATACATAGTTCATCTTTTATAGATATAGATTTTGATCAAATTTGGAAAATGTTTTTATTTCTTACTATCAACATTTTACAAATCAAAAAAAAACAGTTTTAGCCTTCCTGATGCAGCAAACCTAAGTACTTGTTAAACTAATTCCATTTAAATAGGAAATAAATGTTATATTTTTAAGTAGACATTTTAGTGTAAATCCAATCAGGCAAATGGAAATTCGCTTAGTCTGCAGGTTTGCTGCGGCGGGGGTATTTCAAATGTTTGGATGGTTTAGAAGTAACCAATTTCAATTTTTAATGCCTATATAATTTTAGTGGACATTTTATGTATAAGTGGATATTCATCTCCATTCACACTTGGCTTATACCTACTTTGTATGGCCGTAATTTCTATGAAAAGTATTAAAGTATTGTTCACCTCAATAAAAAAAGTATTTTCATTTCATTTCATTACTCTAATTCAGTATTTTCTCACCAAAATAAATTAGGAGGTTGTTTAGAATAATTTTTAAATGGTGAGGAAATCGACCAAAGTGGAAGGTGATATTCTGAAATAGAATAAATTTTCTTACAAATTACGATAATGTCTTAGCAAAATATTAAGTCATTTCCGAATTTACAAGCATCAACCTAGCAAATGAGTGAGGAGTAGTCATTAGAGCACATGTATAGTAAATATCATGCTTGCGCTAGCTGCAAGCTCGTTTTACTAAATTTACGAGTAAATATATATTGTGTACTAATGTGACACATCATTTACAGGATTCAGTAGGTTGTGATATTTTTGGTGACCGATCAGGATGGACAGCCCGTGAAGAACTATTATTATTGAATGCCATTGAACATTATAGTTACGGCAATTGGAAAGATATTAGCCAACACATTGGAACTAGAACTCCAGAGGGTGAGTTGACAATTAGACACATAGCAGCAAGAAAAATATCTCAAGCAATCAAACATTATTAATTCAGTAAAAACGGGTGGGGGGGAGGCACAGTCACTGGATGGACTTAACACATTCACTACCAGGGGTCTGGAGACTCTACAGAAAGAGGAGTGTGACAGCTGGCAGTGACCCACCCTGTTAAGAGTATTTTTTTCATTTTAGTTTGTCTTTAACAAACAAAAAACATAGGAAAAAATATAGAACTAAAAAAATGTGTTAATTCTGTATTATTTCTCTAATCTGAGATTAGTATTGGCTTTGTAGTCAAGTTACCTCCACTTTAACCATATTCTGCTAGACTGAATGCATATACTATTATGTGTTAATCTATAATTAATTGTCGTATAAATTAATGTCTTCAGTTTATCTCATCCAAACCTTGTTCAAATGTTATACTCTTGATCCATTGGTCCATTCATATGACCAAGCCATGTCTCTCTGCTTCTTGTCATTGCAAAAAAAACTGCCTGGTTAAATGAGTACTGAGGACTAGATGTGTGCGAGCGACTCGCTTTTTGAGCCGAGCTGAGCCTGGCGAGAGGCTGGAGAGTTTGGAGCTGGGGAGTTAAAGCACAAAGTCGGAAAATCGAGCTTGAGCCGAGCTTTTACGATTGCGATCGTAAAATGCCTCTGCTACGTAGGGTAAAAACGTAGTGAAGTGGCGAGGATAGAGTGGAGTGGAGAGCGTATCTGAGAGTTTTTTCACCCCCGATGGTAGTGGAGCTTCACATGCACATAGTGAAGTGGCAACGGTTACGAGTCAAGAAGCTGTGTTACAGTAATTTTGAATATACATAAACCCTAATTTAACCTATAATGAGGGTTAAATTTACTGATTTTGTAAGAAACCAGTTAATGGTAAAAGAAGTAAAATACAGCAAAGTGGCCATTTACTAGGCCTATACAACTGCTTAAATGTTAAAAATAATAAAAGTTTTATAATAATTCCAGAAACTTCTAATAATTTTGTAAAAGAGAAAGAAAATACTGTTTACATGATAAGTTCCATAGTTTTAATTCATCATTTAAGGGGGGATTGTACCTTTTTGACAAGAATAATTACACGTTATCATTTTATATATTAATAGCATTAGTCCTAGTCCCAAACAGTACTGCCTCTGGGAACTGATGAAATAAATCTACATTTTTAAACCATATATGTAGTCGGTTTCACCACTGAGGCTCGACCCTCTACCAAACCGTCGAGGTAAAGAAATCGGGGAGCGGAGAAGCTAGCCTGTTGGAACGGGCTCCCCTCTCCACTATGTTTTGGCACACCTAGGTGCATGTACAGGGTGGTGCAAAAAGGGAGGTTGGTTTTAAAATGAACATAACACAAATGATTTTACGCATAAATTTTACTGACTTACGTTTCTGGACACTTTCAAACTCCCAATTACAAAAAATAACCTTGTAAGTTACAAATTTGCTAGTAGGCTATGTCGATAAAACCATAAAAAAATTAAAAAATATATAAATAGAACGTAGCGGACTTTGAAGTACTGACACTCATACGGTCTCCATGTTTTGTGGAGTAACTGCCGTCCAGTAGATTTACCTTGACCGACCCTGTTGTCCGAGATGCAGTCACCCAACGTGATATGATCTGCGAACAGAAATCAGTCCTCTACGGGCTACGCCAAAATGTTGCCGAAACAGGCGTTACAAAAAAATAAAAGATTGACTGTTTCTGAAAAAAAAAAAAAACGGTTCCACAGCTAAAATGCAGTGTTCGACCGTCCACTGCACCATATCGCTGCAAATTGGGTACCATGGTCAACTTACAGACGGCTGGTAGTGGACCCGAACCTCCACCAACTACTAATACTACGCAGTTCAAATCCGACCATCCTTTTTGCGCCACCCTGTATTATTTTTTACCGGCTCAGCTACGCTCTAGCCTCGCCGCTCCACTATGTTTTCACTCAAAGATAGCGTGATAAAAAATTTCACGCTTTAGCCGCAATTGTGGAAGACTATGATAACTTTTCCGATAATGACAACGATAATGTCACATTTCTTAATGATAAAGTTATAATAAAATATACATGCTTATAGTAAACTAGCTGTAACCCGCGGGCTTTGCCCCGTTTAACTTCTTAATTTTCAAGATGATCTCGTTCGCATGGCTCAATCACGTCCTGACGTCCTGGTTGAAGTTCGTTCGCTACGCTCACTCACTTTTAGGTTAGAGCTCGTTCGCTACGCTAACTCGCCTCTAGGTTGAAGTTCGTTTGCTACGCTCACTCACCTTTTGGTTGCAAATTAGCTGTTGTCATAAATGTAAAAGAAATAATAGTGCTGCACCCTGTTGGTAATCCTTGTAACTTTAATGCTATTGAACATCATAGAACAAAACCAACTTGTTTAATTGAAACAGCTGTTAAGATTCATTAATTCCATTTAAATATGAGTACTCATAAGGTTAACATGGGAAACTCCAGAGCCACTGGGGCGGAGCCCAGAGGTCGGAGGGTAAAATCCTTTCTTAGTGAGCGTCTACTACCCAAAAGGAAGATGCCTGCCAAGTTTCAGGTTCCTAGGTCTTATGGTTTCAGAGATTTTGTGATGAGTGAGTCAGTGGTATTTGAGCTTTATATATATAGATAAGAGAACAATTGTAAAAGAACAAAAAAAACAACAGAAAATGATATAATTAAAGTTAAAACATACTTTGATTAGTAGGGAAAGAGAAGTCAATTACAGTTCATCAAATGAATAAATAGCCCTGCTAATGAGAAATTTCTTAAGTTTGTTTTAACATTTTTTGATACCGGTATTTACTTCTGCTTGTATGTCCTTCTGAAGTTTCTTATAGAATTTTTTATTGGCATATTTGGGTTTCTTTTCAAAAAGATACAATTTATGAGGACTTATAGCTAAGCTACCTCGATTTCATGTAAGATGATTATAACGACGCAGATTTTCAGGATTTTGACATGATTGCAGATGTCGATGATACAATTTCCATGACCGTAGCACACGACTATGATAACCACACAATCACCTTGGGTGAGATTTTCAGGATTATGTTCTCGATGATAATGTTTCCGTGAACGATGGAGATAGTCAGGATCTTGACACTATTGCGGGAGACTAGCAGACACCGCTATGCGGAATATATTCCTCCTGTTCTATTTTTTTTATCATTAAATATTTACCTATATACATACCATTTTTAAATAATGACATTTATGCAAATGCCATAGTTCAATTTAAATATTTAAAAATCAATAAGTTGTTTTATTTATTGTTGGAATAGTTATTTTTATTATTTTAATGTTCACTTGTATTCTTTGTTTATGACCGCGTCAATTTTAAGAAAAAAAAATGAAATGAGGGGAAATTTATTATAAACTTAGTTCTTCGTTTCATCCTTGTATCTACTAAAACATCATATTTTACTCTACATCTTAGCATTAAATTGCATTTAAAAAAAGGTATTTGGCTAGGCTAATTAACTTTTTATTTGTAATTACGTTAATTTATGATATATAAAAGCATGGCTCGGAAAAAGCTTGAGGCTGGAGTTGTTTTCAAAAGCTTGGCTCGATTGAAAATCTCAGGCTTGCACACCTCTACTGAGGACCTTAAAACTAACTGCTAAAAGGATGTTTCCATTTGCTGTTAAACCTAGTACAGTAGACTCTTAGTAATCCGGCAGACATAGGGCCGTGATACTGCCGGATTAGTGGAAATGCCGGATTACTGGAATGTTATCAATAATACCGCCGCTGCAGCAAACCTGCCGACTAAGCGAATTTCCATTTGCCTGGATTGATTTTCAATTAATCTATTAAATTAACATTTATGTTTAACGAGTACCTAGGTTTGCTGCTACAGGGAAGTTTATTCTCAGAAATCATAACATAACATAATCAACAACTAGAGATCAGCTGGTTATAGCAATACCAACATCTCCCTCTTTAGCTTTTTAATGGACGAATAAATCATCTATTGGGTCTAAATAGTCTTCCTTCGATTGATACAATGTAAGTTCTCAACCCATCTAGTGACACTATTATGCCAGGCGTCCACGGTTCTACTTTCATGTCTGGTCTCTTCTGTATCAATACCTTTTGCCCAACTTTAAGTGGGTCCAATGCCTGAGTGCCTTTATCATAGTGCCTCTTGTATTTTTCTTGTTTTTCCTTCAACTTGTCTCCTAACTCCTTCCTTGTCTCTTAGGAGTCTCTTGTGTCTCCTATGTGTATCTTTGGATTTAGTTTCATTTCTGTTAAGGGGTAACAAGTCTTTGTTGATCTTGACATTAGCAACTGCACAGGACTTGCACCCAAATCGGCCAGTGGTGTATTTCTCCACTCTAATAGAGCTGCTTGAAAGTCTTCTTTACTTTATTTTACCTTCTTTAACATTCTCTTTGCAATTTTAACTACTGATTCTGCCTTACAATTGGATTTGTGATTATGCACTGAAGTATCTGATTATCTCCATTTGGAAGTAGTGGCCATTTTTATTACCGCACACTTTTCCAATTTTCAAAAAGTTTGAAGTGCAATATTTCTGGTGGGGCAAACTATAAAATCTAATTTTTGCATATGTAATGTGCCTATATGGTAGCAACATACAGCAAATTTCAATGTTGGTATTTGATCTTAAGCAGAGTTATAAAATTTTGAATTTAAAGGAAACTTCAACTTTTGCGCCAGCTTTAATCACCAGATTTAGGTATAGAAAATCTATACACAAGCTAGTAACAATGCAATAGTAAACTTGTTACAAAATTGAAAGCTAGAATATGTCCAGGAAAAAATGATTAAGAACCAAAGTGGTTATAAATGGAAATAAAATATAGCCTAAAACAAAAGCCGTTCTAAGTAACTTAAATTGACTGGATTTACTTAGCGTTCAAAGAAGACTCATCCAGAGTGTCAGTGTTATACATATGATACACAGGGGGACTGGCCCGCCGGCCCACCGGTGGGCCGATACGCCTT